AGAGCTATTGTTGAGTGAGGAAAGAGTTCTGATACCTAACCCACCTCTTCAACCAGGGCTTCCAGCTGTCACAATTAAGAAAGGATTCTTTTCCTGGAATTCACAGGTCAACCTCAAGTTTTATCTCTTTTCTTTATATGCATAGTCGATTTTGAATGGAACATTTATTTATTCTACTAATTGACAGAACTTATATTTGCTTCCTACTTTTTTTGTGCATTTATTATCGTAGGTTTTAGTGGTTGATACCATGGCTCTTGTTAAAATATGAAAACTAAGTTGTGTTAAACAAAAAAGAAACTAAATTTAGCGTTTTCACATTAGCTGAAAATTTTTGAATAGCTAATACAAATATTTCAATTCCTTAGGGTTTTGAGGTTGATACTATGGCTCTTTTGTTAAAATATAAAAACTAAATTGAGCTCTTTCTGATAAGTTGGAAATTTTTGGATGGCTAACCCCTATTTGAGCAAGAGATCTTGAGTTCGAACTGTTAGTAAGTTTTGATCAGATAATAGAGTTGGAAGACTCATTGTCCTATAAATTTGTGTTTGCTAATTTTTGACAATAAGATGTCAAACTGTAGAGTTGACTAACTGCCTTCTGAAAAATTCATGCCCGGTAATTTAAGCTTTGAAGAGAATTGATTTAAATTAGAAAAATGTTGGCATGTACAATTAGCGTCAGCATCAGGGAAAAAATTCTTTCCGGAGTTATTTTCTTCTTCCTTCGTTTTGTTTTGGTAGCTTCCATCTTTTGAGTCTCTTCTCTTCATTTAAAAGTTATGGCAGAAATTTTTAAGTTTTCTATTGAAGCCAAAGCATTTAGGAGCCAATAGGGTATAAGTCCATTGGCTGGAGAGGCCCCCTGACCAAAACAAAAAGGGCAAGAGAAGATTGTAAGCGCAAGAAACACTTACCTTGAAGTCCTCAAAAGCACTCTCGTCTGAAACGTTTATATTCTCAATTGCCTAACTCAGAAAGTTATAAGCACAAGAGAAGGTCAGCACTCAAAAAGGGGCCCTAAGTACCTCTTTATATATGCAAACCAAGCTAGCGTAGGCTACTTTAGTAGATGTAAGGTAATTTATTCAATAGACAACATAAGCAAATGTGTGCATCACGACCTAGCAAAGCACATATAAATTGATCGCCACTTTATTTTAGAGAAATTTAAAAACTCAATAATTCAAGTAATCTACACACCTACAAAATCAAAAATTACTAATATTCTCACTAAAGCCCTCCAAGAACCACCTTTGAAGAACTGTGTGACATTGTTAAGTATTTAGCTTGAGGGAGAGTGTAGCATTTTAGAATAGGAAAGTGTCATTATCTGGGATTCCATGTAATTCTAGCTTTGTTTGACTCCTATATAATGGGGATTCTCAATTATTTAATAACCAGATCCTCCAATATTTTCTCCAAAGTTCTATCCTTCTCTTATCGAATTAAGGATGGAAAGTTAGGGTTTCTTGTGTAATCATTCTTCTATATATTGTTGTATTATTCTTCATCATAATACAATAGAATAATTCTAAGAAATAATCTCATAAAATTTATGATTTGTTTCAAAAGAGAAACCGTGATTTTTTGTGTATATAGGGCCTTGATATTGTAGCATTCCAGGCCCTGAATACTTGCTCTAGAGGAAAACATCAATTATTTGAGCAAATACTGGTCTTCTACAGTTTGAAAGATGGAAACTAGCCTTCTATCCTTCTGTTTGTTAAGAAACTTAACTTCCCTGATCTGGACCTTTTCTTTGAACATCTCCACTTTCATCAGAAATGTTTGACCTACCAAAAGAAGCAGCATTTGTTGGGGACTTGTGATTGAATAAAGTTTGTGCTTTGAGCTTGTGCTTTTTTTTTTCAGGCAGATGGGTCCACGCTTTCAAATATCAATTTGGACATATCAGTTGGAGAATTGGTTGCAATTGTTGGTGGGACTGGAGAAGGAAAGACATCACTGATTTCAGCAATATTGGGGGAACTTCCCCCTGCAGCAGCAGATTCCAGTGTTCTCATTAGGGGGACCGTTGCTTACGTTCCTCAAGTTTCATGGATTTTCAATGCCACAGTGCGTTCTACTCTATGAATAACCAGTTATACGAATAATTTCTAGACTTGATGGCTTCTATTAACTTGTTACCAGTAATCATGCTTCTCACACTGAAAATGCAATTTCACAGTTACGTGAAAACATATTATTTGGATCTGATTATGAACCTGGGAAGTATTGGAAGGCTATTGATGTCACTTCACTCCAGCATGATCTTGATTTACTTCCTGTAAGTGGATTATGATCTTAAACTTGTCCCTAGTTTCATCCCATGCAGAATGTTTCAATAATCTAACAACTATTTTTTCAGGATCGTGATCTTACAGAAATTGGCGAGAGAGGAGTAAATATAAGTGGTGGACAAAAGCAGAGAGTTTCCATGGCTAGGGCTGTCTACTCTGATTCAGATGTATACATATTTGATGATCCTTTAAGTGCTCTTGATGCTCATGTTTCTCGAGAGGTATTAGTTCATGTTAACCAGTATAATCTAGCTAGCCATGTCAGCCATCACTATTTTTGTTACGTTATATTCTAAGATTCTAATAGCAGGGTCACTAGTGATCATATCTCGTAATCTTCACTGATACAATTCTAAAGGAAACACTTATGCAGTCTGAGTAAGATTCTTCCATACAATTATCAATTCCATGGCCTTGTGTTTTTCTTTTTCTCTTATTTTCATCTAGCTTTAATGTTGGGCCTCCTGGCTATAGGTTAACATTTTAAGCAATAACTTTCTAGTCATAGTTTCAAGAAAGGAACTATTGTCTTTCAATCCTTGAAAAACTCATTTTCATTACATCGACGCCCATTGCCAAGTATGGCTCTTATATGATAGTGAAAATATAATAACATTAGGCCCATTCTCCCTTCACCTTAAGCTTTTGAGATGTATCATGCTCAGCTGCTCTGAAATAACTCACAGGTATTTAACAGCTGTATCAAGGAAGAATTACGGGGCAAAACAAGAATACTTGTCACGAACCAGCTACATTTTCTCCCTCAGGTGGATAAGATCATTCTTGTTAGTGAAGGTATGATTAAAGAGGAGGGGACCTACGAGGAGCTCTCAAGAAATGGCAGGCTATTCCAGAAACTGATGGAAAATGCAGGGAAAATGGAAGAAATGGAAGAACAGAGTAAAGAAAAGGCAAGCGAAGAAAGCTTTGACCTAGAAACCTCAAAACCCGCCATTAACAAGGTGGATTATGTGAATGGGCTGCCAAGTAATCCAAGCTATGGCAAAAGAGGGAAAGGAGGTAGATCTGTACTTATCAAGCAAGAAGAACGAGAAACAGGTGTTGTCAGTTGGCATGTTTTGATGAGGTAATGAAGTGTGCAATTTTCCAACTCATTAATCCAAGAATTATTTATAACTTTGATTTCTTTCAAGAAGTTTCCTCTGAAACAAATTAAACTCGATGAACAACTAGAGGTTGCAACCTTGTCAAGTCACCTACATGGTGTTGATGTATGAAGTATGATAGGCCTCTTTCATTTTCAGTAGAATTTTTAATCCAGCTCATAAATGACACCATATAACTATAAATAGCATTTATTCTTATGGTACAGACCCGTTTGCTTTGTCTATTAATGTTTGAGACATTAAACCCTCGCTACTTTTTCTTGAAGTCAAGCTTTAAGGTGATTTATTTAAAGTTACATCATTAATAGTCCTTGAGTTCAAAGAATCTAAATGAAATGTACTCAACACTAATTGAGCTTTTCTTCCATGGATTTGCCTCCACTTTTGTTGTTGGGGCTTTATATACATATAATTCGAACTCATTTCTCTTGTGGTGCTTCTATGTACGTATAATTCGAACTCATGTCTCTTGTGGTGCTTCTACCTGCAGGTATAAGGATGCATTGGGAGGGTTGTGGGTAGTCATGATACTCTTTTCATGCTATTTGACAACTGAAGTTCTTCGAATTTTGAGTAGCACTTGGTTAAGTGTTTGGACGGATCAAAGCACTTCAAGGAGTTTCAAACCTGGATTCTTTATTGTCATTTATGCACTTCTAGGATTTGGCCAGGTGTGTATATGGTCAGTGTATAATTAGCATCAACAATCATATGAAGTTACTGACTGAATGATCTTGTGGTAACTTATCTTCTCTGTGTTTTCAACACTGTTATTAAGTTATCCAAGAATTTGAATCTGAAAATTTAAAAATAGGAGGTACTAGGAAATCCAGTAAAGAAAAAATATAAAACGAAATTGCTTCATTGTTTGCCTTATAAAGCCCTGCCTTTCCTGCGGGCATGATAACATTGGGATCATTTTCTTAGTTACAGTTACATTGGAATGACGAATTCACGTTTTCTTGATTTTAGGTGACTGTGACACTTGCGAACTCTTTCTGGTTGATCAAATCAAGTCTACATGCGGCCAAAAATTTGCACAACGCCATGCTAAAATCTATTTTAAGGGCTCCAATACTATTTTTCCATACCAACCCAAGTGGACGTGTAATAAACAGATTCGCAAAGGATCTAGGAGATATAGACCGAAATGTTGCCAGTTTCATGAATATGTTTCTTGGCCAGGTGTGGCAGCTCATTTCAACTTTTTTGCTGATAGGCATCATTAGCACGGTATCATTGTGGGTTATCATGCCACTTCTTATCTTATTTTATGCTGCCTATCTCTATTATCAGGTAAAGTAGTTGTTTTATGCAGCTTTTGGCTATGGTTTTTTTTTTCTACATCTCACAGCTTTGCATGGATAGTTCTATGACTCTCATATATGCTATTCATTAAAATATTTTCATGTGAATTATTTGCCTTTCCATATTGCTGTATTTTCATCTATGCCATCCGTATTTTCACAGAGTACAGCTCGTGAAGTGAAGCGCTTGGATTCCATTACTAGATCTCCTGTTTATGCTCAATTTGGGGAAGCATTGAATGGTTTGTCAACCATTCGTGCATACAAAGGCTATGATAGGATGGCATATGTTAATGGAAAGTCCATGGATAATAATATCAGATTCACCCTTGCAAATGTTAGTTCAAATCGTTGGCTCACCATAAGGTTGGAAACTTTAGGAGGCATCATGATTTGGTTAACAGCAACATTTGCAGTGCTGCAGAATGGAAAATTTGGTAATCAAGCTGCATTTGCATCTACAATGGGTCTGCTTCTCAGTTATACTTTGAATATCACCAATCTGTTGAGTGGTGTTCTAAGGCAAGCAAGCAGAGCTGAAAATAGTTTAAATGCTGTTGAGCGTGTTGGCACATACATAGATCTTCTCCCTGAGGCTCCAGATATAATTGAAAGCAATCGTCCTCCAAGTGGTTGGCCTTCTGCCGGATCAATTGTGTTTGAGGATGTTGTCCTACGTTACAGACCTGAACTTCCTCCAGTGCTTCATGGATTGTCCTTCAGTATCTGTCCAAGTGAGAAGGTGGGCATAGTTGGCAGAACTGGTGCAGGGAAATCCAGCATGATTAATGCATTATTTCGGATTGTAGAAGTTGAAAGAGGACGAATCTTGATTGATGGTTTTGACCTTGCTAAGTTTGGATTAACAGACATACGAAAGGTCCTAAGTATCATACCACAATCACCGGTTCTTTTCTCAGGTACTTACTATAAAATTTTAAACTATATGTTTTGATTCGTTACCAGCCTCTTTCTTCAATTTGAAATTCCTTTGATGTTCAAGGAAATTCAATAAACATTTTGATTTTATGAGCATGCATAAGTATCAAGAACTTCTTTGAGCATTTTTCTTTTCATATGCATTTGTATATTTAGTTACAGAATGGAGTGAAGGTAATGTCTGTGCATGCAAAAGGAGTCTGGTATGACGTTGAAGCTTTAATTTGTACCTGAACTTGGTCCATGTAATATTTTGCTCATTGGCTTGCCATGTAATATTTTGCTGATTGACTAGGTATATAACTAAATTTGAGACTATGTTTTTCAGCCACAATTTTTTTGTAACTGTATTGCTAAACCTGTAATTCTTTGTCATTCACATTCTCTATCATAAAAGAAAAACAATTCCCACAAGACAAATATTTTTGTTATTTCCTTTAAATTGTGTGGAGATACTGTGGTTTTTTCAGGTTATCATGTTGTAACTGGACAACCTAAGAATTGAACAATGTTGCTATCTTATATGAGATAAAATTTTGGTCAAAGAAGCACATACAAGGATTCAAGTCGGTCATTTTCAGTAGCTTGAGCTTGTGTTATGAGCATTAGTAGTTTGAGTTTGATAAGTTTTTAGCCCAATGGTGCTTAGACTTAGAAGATGTTCACATATGGCATTGATAATGCTATCATTGTGCTATGAGAGTGTAATCGTTGATTGCTGTATCCTAACAGATACATAAAAGTTAATGATGTTATATAGGGTTTACTATGTTATGGTTGTCTTGTAATTTTTTTGTACAAGGTTATTATTAATACTGCCTCATAGCTGTCGAAAGAATACAACCTTTCTCGGCAATTATCTTTGGTCTCCAAAGCTCAAGTAATATTTGGACTTTATATCATGACCTTTATATGTGACCTTAATGAGTATGATAATAATCGAAGTAGGGTCAAAAATGCAGAATAAGATCTCAGTTTGGAATATAGTTTGTATTAAAAGAAAAGTCTGTAATTGTTTTATTTTTCTTTCTATTTTTAAGTTATTCGGATTTATTATAATAGACATTATATTATTTTAGTTACCTTTTATTCCCTTATATCTGGCCATGTTTGTTCTTATGATTATTGTTTTATCTAATCTATCTTGTTCAGCCTATTTCTCCCTATGTTTTTTTTTCATATCGATATCTAATTTCCTCAAGCAATTTTCATTCTTCTGTTTATCACAAAATTTTCTCTATTATTAAATTATGTACAGGACAAGTTAGCTTTGCTGTTACTCATCCTACATAAGTAAAGTTTGATATTATATTGCAATTAGAACAGGAACATATTTGATTAAGCTCATATAAGAATGAAGTTCTCAACATTGAGATTTTGAGCTCAACAGTTTCTGGACTAGTAATTCTTGAGCTTGGAGCATTACAATTACAGCTGCGATTTACAAATAGCAAGCCAAGCTAAATCAGAAAGATATTTATGTCATAGGAGCTTATAAACATTTTTCTAGATAAAAAGAAGGCATGTGATAAATTAGAAACAAATATATCAATGAGGTTCCCATGTGCTTTTCATCCAGGGAAATATGTCCTGATAAAACGTGTTTTATGTTTCAATAATACTTTGTGATATAACATTTAAATAATATGCGATATCATTTTATTTCTTGTTGCTATTTTATAGGAACTGTACGATTTAATCACCATCCTTTTGGTGAGCATAATGATGCTGACATTTGGGAGGCTTTAGAGAGGGCACATCTGAAGGATGTAATCAGAAGGATTGCCTTTGGGCTTGATGCTGAGGTATGAGTTATCGTTATCTTTTATGGATCAAAGGTGATTTGGTGCGAGATTTCTGTCATTAACCATGGAAAACCTTAGCTGATTCTTCTTTTTTCTTAGATATTTTTTATGTTTCCAAACAGAGAGATTGAAAGAAACTACTTAAAACTACTTATAAGAATAAAATTAGCATTCCTCTACGCCCTCTTGGTTTAACTACTAAATTTTGATATATAATTTATTTTTTAAAATTAAAGGAGTCGAGTGAAGTCAAATGAGATAAAGAGAAACATGCCACATTCTCTTTTGATTCTCTGGGATTAGAAGCCCACATTCTAACAGTAAACTTTTTGGAGTGGGTAAAGTTTTTGTAATCAGAATCTAAACCTATCCTCAGTCCTGATAACATCGACCTGATAATTTTAAATTGTAACTTTAACTGAACAGGCACCGAAAACATTGATTTACAGATCATTGACATCTACCTGTTGTTTTCAAATAAGTGCGGTGGAATTGTTAATACTTTTAAATATATGTCCAGCCTTTATTATGACTTAGAAAAAAAAAATCTGAAGAATGTAGGACATCTACGTGAATAACTTTGGACCTTCTGCTGATGAATACACATAGCAAGAAATAGCATGTTGTTCGTTGCATATAGGTTAGTTTTGAATAAACAAATGCAAGAGAAACATAAAATTCATTCGCAAAATCCATATATTTTTCACATTTTAAACCCGAATATAAATTTGCAAATGAATTTCCCATTTTCTTATTATGAAATTCATTTGTCCTAACACTGTACAAACATAAAATTTTAGATATGAAAGTACGTTTGAGTATTTGATCTATGCCAGACTGTGTGTAGTTCAAAGAGATCAAAACTGGGAAGTGGTAAACAATGAAATTTCAATTGTGTCAAGGTTTCTGAAGGAGGAGAGAATTTTAGTGTTGGACAGAGACAACTGCTAAGTCTTGCCCGTGCCCTGCTGCGAAGATCAAAGATCCTTGTTCTTGATGAAGCAACTGCCGCTGTTGATGTTGGAACTGATGCTCTTGTCCAGAAAACAATTCGTGAAGAATTCAAATCCTGCACAATGGTTACCATTGCTCACAGGTTAAATACCATTATTGACAGTGACCGAATCCTGGTGCTGGATGCTGGCCAGGTATGCTTGGAATTTTCTTAGCTCACTAGTTCACCTTGTTTCAACAACAAAGTGGCTAGCAGATTGTTTAATCTGAATCATATCATCATTTATTTATATAATTAAAGGCATTTCTTTATTTATTTATCAGTTGGAAACTTTCAACTCTTACTTTCAGGTTCTGGAATATGATTATCCTGAAGAACTGCTATCAAACGGTGAAAGTGCATTTTCTCAGATGGTTCAAAGCACAGGACCTGCAAATGCCCAGTATTTACATAACTTAGTTTTTGAACGTAAAGAGAACAAGCTGACCAGGGAAGAATCTATGGGGCTGGAGGGACAGCGGAGGTGGTTGGCCGCCTCTTCACAGTGGGCTGCTGCTACCCAGTTTGCACTTTCCGTTAGCCTCACCTCTTTGCAAGATAACCTCAAGGGGTCCAATATTCAAGACAAGAATGATATCCTGAAGAAAACAAAAGATGCTGTTCTCACATTGCAGGATGTTTTGGAGGGGAAGCATGATGAAGTTGTAGATGACACGCTACAGCATTACCACGTTCCAAGAGACAGATGGTGGTCAGCTCTCTATAGAATAATTGAAGGTATGCACATACTATTTTTACATGTACACGACTTCTTTCAGCATCAATTTTCCAAGACATCAATAGGAATGTGCAAACTTTGATAAATGCCTTCATATTGTTTTTGTATGTATTAAAGAAAATGCTATGACTTCAATATCTTATGAAGAAGAGCAATAAAATCGAAAATATATTACCTAACTGAAGGCGAAAAAATTGGTAACCAAAATCCTGGCCATTTTTTTATTGAAAAGGAAAGCTTACATATGTCTTACCTATAAATATGTAACAATTTCGTGGCAGAAAATCTATACCAGAATAGTTAATTAAAAAAATGTTGTAGAATAACTTGATGTTGGAGATTGGCCAGTCTTCTTTAAGGACCTAAACCTTAACTTCCACAAATGTCAACCTGTACACGATCTTTAACTTGGGACTACGACATCTTTGTTGTGTTGGTAAGGAGTACACGAAAGCAATTTGAATCCCTTAAGACTATATTGGCTCTAATACCATAGGGAAGAAATAAAATAAAGTTATTCAACTATAATTGATTGATTTATGAAGAACTTGTACGTAAATGTTCTATATAGGAACCTATTGACCTAAAGAAGAGATAATTGGAGGGGAAAATGCTTAAAGTTACATACACAAGTAATAAGCTATATATTAACTTGGAAAGAAGACTAATAAAGAGTGTTAACATTATATGAGAATAACGCGATATATAAAAATAAATTTATGCTAATCACAGCATGAAACTTGAGTTCGTAACTAGATTGTTATTTTTCTCCCGTGCTCTTCATGATATGACATTATTTTCCATTTTATGAGATTATTTTCCTCTTGTCCTTTTTGTTTTATGGAGTTGTGGAATATCTCAGGTCTTGCTCTGATGGGCAACTTGGCTCAGAAAAGGCATCAACAACTGGAATATCAGTGGGGAGACAAGCCTGTTGATTGGGACAGTCTTGAAATTTAGGCAACCACAATATTGAAGAGATCACCCAAATGTTTGGTCATGTCTGAAAGGTGCTGTTGATATCATTTGAATCTTCACATACTGGTTTCTCACACTCCTCTCCTCTCTTCTTTTCGGTTTACGATCACTTGTTGTGGAGGACAAGCCTCTAGGTGTGTCCCTTAGGTTCTTAAAGGAGCGTAGTGGTTTCTCTTCTTACTAGTCTTCTCGCCCACGAGCATGTTAATTGTTATTCTTAGTCTTTTAATTAGATCAGATCGAATTATATTAATTTAAGACATCCAGTAATTCATAAAAAAATTCTCTAAATTAGTTAAGTTTGAACACAATGTAATAGTACGAACTAATCATTAGTGTAGATCAAGAAGCTCGTTAAGCTTTGCGATGGAGAAAACATAAGATATGTGTAAGTCTCTCATTTCATCTATCTAAATATAGTACTATACCCACCTTTCTTTTACTTGGAATAACTCATAAAGATATACATGTAAGAGAAATTCTGTGTGAGAAAGTTTTTCAAATTCTACTGCAAGGATAAACTCAGTTATGGTGTTCAAAGCTATTATTTATGAATTACGTTTTAGCAACTTTAGCCTCCCGATCTCCCTCTTCGGATGACCTTTTTTATTCGTCTTTGTTTTCTGTTGTAGTTATATTTGTCTAATTTCTATATACACCAAGATTGCATAATTTGAATGAGAGTTGACAATCTATATCATTCTCACATTATGTATGTATGCTATGTGGCAAGAATAAGATCATCAGAAAATTCTCTTAAATTATTTCGTCAAACATTAATTTTTACTATATTCATGTCTTATCTTACGTGCATATTATAATATTTATACGGATAAATTATCAAATTAATTTTTAAAATTTGGCACTTACTATAATTTGGTCTCTAATAAATTGTTAATAATTTATTAATTCAATTATTAAATCAAAATTATCTTTTTAAAATATTTTTTAAAGTATTAAACATAACTTGATTATTTTAGTTTTTTTATTAAAAAATAAAAGAAAATTAAATATTTAAAAAAATTAAAAAAAAAACATTAATAATTAAATTATAATAAAAAATTTATAAAAATAAAAAGTAATTTAACAATTTATCATAATTATAATTATATAAAAATGATATAAAATATTATTTTATATGAAGGAAAATTATTTAATTAAATAAATATAAAATAAATAATAATTTAAAATAGCTATATATTTATAATTATATAAAAGTAAAATAAATAGATTTTTATTACTATATTAGAAGGTTATTATATTTTAATTTTTTATAAAAAATTTACAAAACGAATTAGATATAGATAGAAAACAAGTGATCAAGAATTTGTATGGTGTATAGTTCTAAAATTTATAGTCAATTAAAAGTTAATCACATAGTATGATCATACTTAAAAGATTTTCAATATAAACCAAAAGCTTAAACAATAAATCAAAATAGGAAACAATGTTAAAACTTTGATCCAAAATCAAACTCCAGTAAACTAGGAGATTCTTGTAAAACATATTCTATAAAAATATTATGTCATGTCTAGAGGACTTCTAGAAAATATGAAGTTCTTAATCACAAAGGTTATAAAAATTCAGTCTAAGTCGTATTAAAATCCGTCAGCACAAGATCAGTACATCAACGAAAACAGACTCGTAAATTATTTATGTTGTGCACCTAAAATCTTCCGAGAGAAGATTTAGTCTAGAACAAAAATTCAAAGATCCTGCATCTTTCAACGAAAAAAACATAAATATAACATTTTCGTTTCATAAATGCTAATATAATCGGAACTTCGTGGCAGTAAATCTCAGATGCTGTAAACAGCAGATAGACCTACTAAATATTGAGTGAGAATAAAAGAAGGCTGATGATCTATGCATATTCGGTTTGAATCTCAGTCCTGAGGCTGAGATGCATTGCAAATATCAGATTGTTGTGGGGCATGAATGGCCTCAAAAGCCTGAGCATAAGAACTTGCGAACCCCATTAATGCCCGGAACACGTTCGGGAGGCTTGTTTTCAGGTTGTTCAGACTCATTGTCTTCCCAATCTCAACTGCCTTCAAATATTTAGCCTTCTCAACCTCCACTTGTTTCTTTAAGGCTTCAATTTTTGCCCATTTTAGTGACAAGGAATCATTAGGACTCAAATTAGACTTTGTATTTTCAGCACCTGACCCGCCTTCCAGTTTCCGTTCCATCTCACTTACCGACATTAATTCCTTTTGCAACCTTTTCTCAAGCTTATCAGATTTTTTATGCAGCTTCTGTTCTTCCGCTTCCTGCTCAATTATTGACTGAATGGCTGATAAAAAGCTCTTAATAGCCTCTGCCGCTACCTGTAAGCATACCAGATCCAAGTGTAAATCTCAAAATCATTAATCCTCCAATAATTCAGTATGGAGATACATGATAGTTCTCCTTGTCGGAATTGCGAGCTCATCTAGGTTAAATCATCCAGGGCGCCTTCTGTAAACAGCATACAAATAAATGCAACTGCCAGACAACCTCATCTCAAGTTAACCATAACCCATTAAATTGCCATTAAGATACTTCACTATACATAAATACAGAAAAGCAAGCAGAGGATATTTGGTCATTCATGCTGTCAGTAACACCCAAACAAGGTTGACAATTATAGTACCTTATCAGGTAGCCTTTGAAAGATCACCTGCCATTCTTCACAAAGCTTACTCATAGCAGATAAGCAATCACTCCGTTGATGATCAACCACGAGGAAGTCAGTCAGCTGGATCCACTTGCAGATGTTTCCTACATAGTCTTGTTGAGATTTTACAAGTTTGCAGAAGCTGTTGTACCAGCGAATGACCTCAGCTTCAAGCTGTTCTGCAGCCTGACGATGGTATTCAGTGGTCAGGTCTATGTTCTGACAATCCATGAGATGATTCAACTGTTGGGATATCTCATACTGAGCATTGTGGCACTCGGACATAGTTCTCCACACATGCATCAGACTGCAAAAATAATAGGGAAAAAACATAATTCAACAAGAAATACAAGTAATTAGTCTTAATCAACATATAAAAACAAGATACTTATATTATGAATGAAAAATTTCCACTAAAAACGGTGACAGGTGAATGATCTGTTTTCCTGAATGCCTCACAACAGTTTCTTTCAAAAACTAGAAAATTTTTCGATCAGAAAAAGTTAAAGAACAACCGTTCTTGGTTCATGCCATAGATAAATTCTCTACCTTCCAAAGACATACTAGATACTGAATATTATTTAATTTTTATGTAATCCCAAAAGCAAATCAAAAAAGAGCCATGAGAATGTATAACTTTTACCCAGAAGTTAATGCAACCAGCTGAGGATGCAGCTCCTCGTCAATGAGCTTCAATATGGATGAACTTGTCATACTTATTGAATCCCGCAGACATGTTATGTCAGACTCCAAACTTTCAACACTTAACCGAGTTTTATCTCTCTTGGTCGAATCATGGTTTTCATCTTCTTGCTTCTGCAGCAATGTGGATTTCCGTTCATGCTCTAGCTTAGTAAGTTCTTCCTCCTACAAATAGGATAACAAAATCCATAAGCAAGTGCTAAATCCGGACTAAGAAACAATAAAAACAGAACCATTTGAATTAGGATGAATAATTTTTTAATTTTAGCAACATAAGCTTGTTAGGAAGATTATGTCTTCTCATCCTGATCCTCAAAGAGATCCCCATCAGTTATTGTTGGAAGAGGACAACCATAGCAACTGTGTATTATTTCTTTCTTTTGAACTTGAAATCAAGTCAAACACCATTTCAAAAAGATAATGGCTTAATAATACAGAAACCACTCTCTATAATATTGTCAACTAGGAACCACTATTTCCTTCTTCCAACCCTGAAATTTTGTTTTCTTCTGCATTCATGCCATTGTGCTCTAAGGTACTTACAATAGAAGTTTATAGCTGGCATAGATATTGAAAAAAACAACAAAAAGAAAAAAAAATGTTTGCAGAAGAGACCACATATTTTTTCAGAAACTGTCGACAACTCTCATGTGGCAAATATTTTTTCTTGATAAACCCACAGCTATGAGAATGACTAAAATGCATCAGTCATTAAAAAATAATACATACTTCAGCATCTGCCCATAAGAAAAAAAATGAGGCGAATTAAAAAAGCCAACCTATAATTTGATCTATATTACAGTAACCCTCTAGTATTTCGAAAATATACACTTACCTCCGTTATGTTTAAAAATTCTGCACGGACCTCCCTCATTTTGGTAATGTAGTCAACACCACATTTTCTAAAGTACATAAAATATCTCTTTCTTATTTATTATCATGTCATTTGATTTTTAGTTTTATTTTATAAATAGTATTTAGTTAGTAAAATTCAAGAACTAAAATATGTAACAAAACAAACATTATTAAATTGTTAATATATTTCATATTTGTTTTAGGAAAAATTGTACTAATCTCCCTCATGTTTACTCTAGTACGTACGTTGTATATTTTAAAATTATTGACTTAACCCCCAATATATGAACTAAATTAGAAAGATCTAGACACCCTAAACTATTTTTCAAGAACACCAAAATATCACATCATTTATAAAATTAATATATAATAAATAAATTTTAGTATATATACAATATTATTCGCTGATATTAATAAAAAATATTGATATTGATTAATTTGTTACATAAAATACTAATATGTTAACATTAAGAAACAACATTAACAATTAAAAAAATAATAATAACAGTGTTAGTGATTACCACGTAAGTCCAATTAGGAGAAAACTAAATGTTTGTTTTTCTTTATTTTTTAGAAGCAGATAAAATTTTTAAAATTATAATTATAATTAGTTATACACTTCAAAATAAATTTGGAATATTTAGTCAACTACTGATAATCCTTCTAGCATCAAAATCAGGAGATTTACTGCAGTAAAAAACTCTGACTTATGCACAGATCTTATTGAATACAAGTCAAGTATCACTCTTACCTTTACTTCCTTGTAAAGTTTATGCTCTAACGCATATAGTTTTCCGAGTGTGATGGAATGAGCTCCGGGCCTGCATGGTTCAGAAAAGCTGCACTCAGCACCATCTCTTGCAAGCTGAAGTGACTTTGAAGACCAGCTCCAGGACAAGGCACTAAAGACCCTGGCAGAATTGCTCCTCTTCCCTGTAGGCAATACAATTACCACTAAGAGGAATATGATATCAAAAAACAGCAACTGATGATCTTTTTTTCCTTTGAAAATGGTTAATCAGAACTCAAGAAACACAGTGACAAAGAAACGCGGAATACTGTCGATCAAAGCATAAAACTGCTCGGCCAAAAAGATGAACAAAATATAATAAGCTTGCGGACAGTGAAAGAAAAATAAAAGGATAACTAAACACAGTGTAATCTGTGATGACAAAATTAATCTCTCAAACCATAACCCTCATTAAGACAGCCTAATGGAAGCCAATTCACACACTCGAGAAACAGATTTTTAGTATCTCAAAGCTCTAAATATGATACAAGCTGAAGTTACAAGAGAAATTTTCTGTTTCTTTACCTGGCCAAACCTAAAAGTGAACTAGATAGAACTCCAGGTGGTTTTCACACCTGCTATATGCAAGACATAGTCATGCTCCTAAAATAATGTCAAAAATGTCTAAAGAGTTTTCAGCAGATGTTGTTCTTTGTGCAATTTATTTATCTAACCGCTAACATCAAATGTCAAAGACCAATGTAGAAGATTCAAATGTTAATGAATATCATGAAAGCTTAATCTGATACGAAATAACCCAATTTTATTATTTGTATTCTTGGCATGCAAAAGTTAATAAAGAGAAATGACCTCAAATGTAAGGTCATAGAAGTTTTTACCAATTGGATTAAGATTCAAAATATCTAAGGAAATAAGAGAGAACAAAATGAAGAACTTTAAATATCAAGAACATAGAGGAGTATTTTACAGACTAGATGGAGGACCGAAATTCATATAGGTTTGAGTACCATATCCAGAATCATCAATAACATGGTATGAAATATTGCAAGAGAGCATGCCCATATATCCAATACTCAATGCAATCAAACCTCTTGCAACATCTAGGAAAGGCCCAGTTGAATGGTGCCATGAACTCCCAAATATGCCCTGCATATCTAAGTTCCAAATTTATTATCCACTACTAACAAGTCCCAAAATGCATGTAGCAGGTCTTCAATCAAGTTCACTACTAAGCTACACATCCAAAAACTAAAAGCAATTCTGATAGTCTGTGGAGAAAACAGACAACTCAACTTTCTAAGTCACAGATAATTAATTCACATATAACCTACCACTTATTTCAAATTCAAATCGCTCATGACCTTGAGAAACAACCATTCTATAAAAGAAAGTAATGGATGTAAAAGAAACAATGTAGTACTCAAACTACAAAATAAAATCATTTTAAAACTCTCTCAAGAAACATTTTAAAAAATTAGCACACAAGCAATCAACAAGTATAAAAGTAAACACACACAAGATTTTAACAGTTTCACAAATTAGCTTATTCTGAACAGCTCATTTCCTGAATCTGCAATCTATGAAGAAAGCCACACCATAGTACAACATACGCAGAATCCTAAGCAAATGTTGAAAACTTGCACCTGTTTTTGAAATAAAATGCCTCCTATTTGTACTTTTTTAGTGTAAGTTTCCTAAGTAGTATGCAGCACAAATATAGGAAGAAAAAATGTTAACTTAAAGAATATTTTACAGGAAACAGTATTTACTTTTGTTTTCTTTCTGATTCTGCGGAAGGGCAGTGTCCCCTCCATTGATATCCATCAAAATGGCAATCTCTTTTTCACCAGCTGATGCTTTTAGGAAATACTCGTCTAATTCCTTAACGATACCCTCTAGGGTCTTTTTGCTTCTCCACCCTATCGTGGGAACTTCTGCGGTACTTTTTGTATGCCAGCTCATCATTGATGAGTTGTCATCGACAAATTCAGTAGGCAGCTTCTTCTCAGACGGTGAATCAACAGCAACAACGCCAGCAACTTCTGGCTCCTGCTCTTCACCCTCGAATTCTGTCTGTGTCTCTGCCCAATCTTCTTCCTCAATTTGTTCCACTGTTTCACTCTTCTGTGGGTTAGGATGAGGCAACAAGGATTCAAAAGGATCCCAATAGTTCCATGAGGAACTTGGAACTGAAGGAGGCGGTGGGGTACAACCACCTATTCTGTCAATCTCCATACTTTCTTCCTCAGCAATTTCTTTTTGTGTCTCATCTTTGGGCTTTCTCGAATCGGGACTGAAAGGAGGAGGTGGTGGGGGTGAAGGAGGCAGTGGAGGAGGTGGTGACAGAGGTAATGCCTGCTCATAAGTTGTATTTTCAAGCTCTAAAGAATCTGATTCTGTGAATTGTCTGAGAGTGACACCAGTATTCTTCAAAGCTCTCAAATACTCAGATTGTGCATCTGCAAATTCTTCTCTAAACCCCACTAATTGTTTCATAAGCCTCTTCCTCCCCTTGCATACCTGCACCTTCTCCGCCTTATCAATGGTTGATGCAGCACAACC